ATTTTTATAATTAATAATTAATTTAATTAAAATATTATTTATTATTTTATATCACATAACGTTAATGTGATATACTAATATATTATAATTGACAATAATATAATATAATGATATATTAAAATTAATGATGATATGATATATTAATTTAATATAATAAAATGATCATATGTTATATTTTACCTTTCACATTAATATCATATTAATATTATATCTATATAAAATGACATATAATATTTTTATTAATAATAATTATTTATTTATTTATTTTAAAATAAAAATTTAATTAAAGATAATAAAAAATAAAAACTTATTTAAATATATCTAGATAACATTATATTTAAGTATGTACGCTTCTAACACACGTTCGTTTGGAGAATCCAAATGTGTCCGATCAATGGCCAAAACAAAGATTTGTCCAAGCGACGTGGTGACCGACTGACGCTAATGCTTTCTTGGGATCAACCCACGTTTGGATGAGAAGAAAATGGGAGAAAATAATTCATTTTGCTGCTCTAGAACAAATCATTCATTTTCTCAGTTTACCAAAGAACTGAAAAGCCAAGGGGTGGACCAGGCCCTACCAATTCCCATGTTTTCCTGACAGTCACAACGTTTTAAGCTCATGGTGACAGTGTACTATGACAAAAGATGGGCGGTGTACCTTAGATATTCAGATAACAAACAGGAAAACAGTTTTCGTAGAAAACTAAATCTTGGTATCTCTGCTTCTAGTTCCCCAGATTCATGACCTTTAGTTGCCCCGAAATTTAGGATATGCTTCGCAGCCCAAAAGACGCGGAAAGCATATATGATCGAGCTTTCCCTGTGAAGTGGAAGAGAATCTCCTTCTCGGATGGAACCTCGACGAACCCCTTCAACGCCGGAAATTTGAGGCATGGATAAGGATGTTTCGGCAAATGCTTTTGAATGAATCACCTGTGGCGTTATAAAAAATGAAGACAGAATTTAGAATTATTCACAAAATTAATTGAAAAAAGAAATGCATTCATAGGATAATTAATTATGTTGTAATTGATGTTATACTTTAGGGTCCTTTTAGTAGCCGGAAAATGATTTATTAGAGAAATTTTTTTTTGTCAAATATTTTATAAAAAATTTAATATTTTTTATTATTTAGATAAAATGTTAAAATGTTTTCTATTGTTTGAATCACTTCATGAAAAATATCTTTCTACTATGGTGAAGTTAGAGTTTATTACAAAACAATATTAATATTTGGTTTTCATTAATTTAGGATCAAAAATAAAAATAAAAATAAAAATGAGTAAAATCAATAATAATATATTCAAAAATATTTAACTACATATATGTAATAAAAATAAACCAAGTGCACATGTACAAGATTGTACCCCAAACAGTTAAAAGGTTGAAAGAAGAGAATTTTAGGATGCTTTTATGGTAACAACTTACCCAAAACAAAAGGCTAAAGCCACTTATGGTAATTTTAACACTTGGTAGGGTTTTTGGCACCTGATTCTCTCTCATCCTCTGTTTAGACTGTTAGTGCACCTTTTTCATATCTTTCAGAGAAATTCAAATAAAACGTTTCTCTTTCCACTTTCGGGCTAGAGGAGAACAAAGCTTCCTATTCCAAACCCCCCAAGATTATCTTTGTCTTAAGGTAACTGCTTCTATGTTTGTTTTTCTTTTTTATAATTATGGTTGTTTGTGAGAGTGTGGGGTAAATGTCAGATCAACGTGGATCTTTTCTTTTAGGAGGATGGAAGATCTGGTTAAAATTGAGAGAACATTGATTTCTTGAAGCATGATATATATTGTTGTCTCTTTTAATTGCATAGGCTGGTTCTTTTTTTATGTGTTTCCGTCTTTATGCACTGAAATTTTTGAATTTAGATCTTGTAGTTGAAAGTTTTACTGTTCGAAAAGAATTTTTGGTTTTGCGTAGAGTGCACAAGATAGTTCAATGCGTAATCCTTGGCCAATGCTGTCCACCAATTGACAGTTATTTGGTGTGCTAGGTATTTCCCTTATTTTCAATCTTAACTTCCATGGAATGGCTTCTTGGTACTGTCGTAGTCTGTTGTAATTTGAAGAGAATCTTGATTATGTTAGAGGAAATACAAGATGATGGAAATTTCATTCTTTTAAGTCAATTCATATGTCATTCAATGCGTAATCTTTGGTGCATGATTTCTACTAATTGACAGTTATTTGGAGTGCTAGGTGTTTCCCTTGTAGCCAGAGTCTTACTTTCCATGGAATGGCTTCTTGGTAATGTCATAGTTGGTTATAATTAAAGAGTATGTAAATTATGTTGGAGGAAATACAATATGATGCTGGTGGGAGACTGGGAGACTTGAATCTGGGAATGCCTCTTATATGTAGGTTGAAGTTGAAAGGTGGGAGAAAAAATGTAAATTTACAAGTGGTACTGTGCTTAATTATTGGGAGTGCGGCTAGGATGTGAACAGATAATAGGGAGACATTTGTAGGATATAGAATCTTGAT